ATTGTTCCAAATCGGTTTTGGAATCTGGGACTGGGACCCTGAGTTTCATAATTTGGTTTTAACCCAAGCCTGCAACTTCGAGTGCTGGGTGACCTGTGGCTTGACAATTTCATTGAAAGCATCTCGGATGGCTTCCCAGCGGTCCTTGGATGGCTGTGTGACCGGGCAGGGACGTCTTCCGAAAGAGACCGGCTTGGCATCATCCTTTCCTTCGTTCTGCGCCTCTTCTCCCTTTGTGTCCTTTGTCTTGGCAGCTTTGCCTCTGGCCTTCTTCTTCTGAGGTTCGCCCTTCTCTTCAACCTTCGCTTTCATGGCTCTCTTGGATCCCTGGTTCTCTGTCTCTCTATCAGACTTTGTGGCAGCTTTGCCTCTTGGCTTCTTTTTCTCAGGCTCCTCCTTCACTTCATCATGCGGTTTCTTCCCTGGCTCTGCTCCTGTCTCTGGCTTCTGGTTCTCTTTGTCTTCAGTGCCGGCCTTTGTGGCAGCTTTGCCTTTGCGCTTTCTCGGTTTCTCAGGCTCCTTGTTCTCATCCTTTGTCTGCTCTGTCTTCACTCCTCTCTTTGGCTTCTGGTCCTCTTTGCTTTCATAACCTGCCTTACTGGCCTCTTCAGCTTCCACCTTCTGTGCTTTCCTGGCCCGTCTCTTTGGCTTCTGTGTCTCCTTCTCTTGGTCTGTATTCTTGGCGCCTTCGTCTCCCAAATCTTCCTCCTCCTTGGTATCCTTCACCTTCTTTTCTTTCTTGTCTTTTCTTGATCGTCGCTTTGGCTGCTTGTCGGTCTCTTCAGGCTCCCTGTCCTCCAAAGTGCCAAACTGCTCTCGGCGCCGCACTAGCTGAGGCGTCCCATTCAATAAGTCCGGAACCTTCAGATCATCTTTCTTCTCCACCTCTAACATATGATCCTCTTCCTTCACCTCTCCGGCCTTCACCTCGGGTACCTTCTTCTCGCCTTCCTCCTTTTCCCTCGTGCCTTCGACCTCAGGAGTCTTCTGATTCTTGTCGTCTGCCTCCTTCATTGGCTCCTTTTCTACAGCCTGTTCCTCCTCATCTTTGACCTTCTCTGCGTCCGATCTCTCCTGTTTCTCTTCCTTCTCCTCCTTATTACCTTGAACCTCCTTTACTTCGGATACCTTGTGCATGTTTTCTTTCTTGTCCTTCGCATCTTCGACCTCTCCGGCCTCTGCCTCCTTTCTCTTCACGTCTCTGGCCTTCACCTGGGACACCTTCTCCTGTTCCTCTTTCTCCTTCTTGCCTTTGACACCCTTTGCCTCGGGAGTTGTTTTCTCATATCTCTCCTCTTCCTTGTCCTTTTCTTTTTCATCAGTGACCTTCTCCGTCTCAGACCCCTTCTGCGTCTCTACCTCCTTCTTCTTACCTGTGACCTTCTCTGCCTCGGATCCCTTCTGCGTCTCTAGCCCCTCGTTCTTCTCACCTGTGACCTTCTCTGCCTCGGATCCCTTCTGCTGGCCTTCCTTCTTCTGGTTCTCTACGCCTTCCACCTTCTTCAGTTCTGCCTCCAAATTCCGCTTCACAGGTAGCCACCCAGAAGCTGGCTGAACTTCATTTTTTTCTTTGGCTTCAGATGCCTGACGTTTGACGCAGCGGCAACTCCCACCTCCTAGGAAAAAAAACTTTTTGTTCCGGTGGTCCCCATGATTTTTTTTAGCCAAAGTAAAACGAACGTTTGGGTTAATCTGGCCTTGGCAGACCCACCCAAGATGAGCGTGTCATCACGCAGAACAAGATCTGCAAATCGCTTTGGTGTCTCTGTTGACAGGGGGGATGGCTCACTAGGGATGCATTGCATGGCAGCCTCTGTGTCAAAGGGCAAAGTCTCCATAGTGTCGGTGGCCGTGGCAGCTCCTGTAAAGCTGGAGGGCCGGTATGTGAAACTTAGGTGCCGCTTTTAAAGATGTCTGTTTTGGAATATGCATAATACTAAGTTCAATTTGATTGAGAATGCGTAGCCACTCCCGTTCCACATTGTCTTTCTTAGGTGTTCTCTGAGGGTGCCAGCAGATATGCCACCAAGAAGTAACCTATGGAATAGTGCCGGCATGGCAAACCAGTTCGAAGTATGTTCTGGGAATACGCTTGCGCCTGAACAAGCGGCTTTGAGAGGTGCACTCCCTGACACTGAAGTTTGTTCAGCACGGCGTCGAGCAACTTCTCTCCTAGAAAGGGTTGATCATGGTTGAGGAGACCATGTTTTTGACCACACCAAGTAGAGAATAAGCAGAGAATAATAACGGTCTAACACCCCATCACATTTAATTGGCTGGCTTTTCAATGTTAAGGAAAAATGAAAGCACCCGGTTGTCACTATCTCGCTGGCCAGGCCTGATCAGCTCACGGCGGATCTCGATGGCACGCTGCTCGTCTTGGCTGGGAAATGAGCTGGAACTGGTTCCACTGAAGCTGGGCGCTGGTCCGTGGTTTGCCCCACTTGGTTCTACACTGGGTTCTACATCCTTGGGCTCAACAGCTTCAGATGCTACCGGCCCGTTCTCAATTGCAAGTAATGGCGCGTCCTCAATAGCAAGTTGTTGGTTTTCCCCTGACACATTTCCTGGAACAGCATGGGGGGCAGGAAGGGCAGGAAGGTTCTCATGACTACCCCCCTCACTGCCACCCTCGAATACCACCATTTGGTTCATCCCATTCCAATGGAAGTCAAAGACGTTCCACAGCGGTAGCAGCTCCAGATCCTAGGGAAAGTGGGGAAGTCTAATTGGATGATGGTGGGTCATGACCCTGGGGATTTTTTGGTCATCATCAATATGAATCCGCAAAGGAAAAAATAAAAGAATCATTTATAAAAGATATAAATGAAAGTCAGGAAACCCGGGGCCCACTGGAATTGGCCCACCTCCGGAGAGCCAACGACATCAGCTTCTTGATCCCCCAACAATCCAAATTGATTGTCGAGACAGGGACTTTGATCATCATCTTGACCCAAAAAGCTTTCACCTTTGGGCAAGGTTTTGGGGAACCCAACACACGGCCACCAAAACCGCGTGGGAATTTTAATTTGCTTTTGGTTTAAAGCATTCGTGTTTTCCCCAATCTAGGTTTTCCGTGTGTAAAACTATCATATTTCCACACCTGTCAGGTGAGGGTTGTTAGATTTTAAGTCAGCTGTCCCGCCACCTCCTCCGCCTCCGCCTCCCCCGCAGGACCTCAACTGCAAGCGCTAGATCACAGTGTCACCCCTGAACAGCAAGCTCAGGATCAGAGTGTTCCCCGCCGGACCTCAACTGCAAGTGCTAGATCGCAGTGTTCCCCGCCGGACTCGACCCCCCCCGCCGGACCTCAACTGCAAGCGCTAGATCGCAGTGTTCCCCGCCGGACCCGAACGATCAGAGTGTTCCCCGCCGGACACCAACTGCAAGTGCTAGATCGCAGTGTTCCTCGCCGGACCCGAACAGCAACCTTTGCAGCAAAGTGTTCCCCACCGGACCCTACAAGCTGCAAGCACTAGATTGCAGTGTTCCCCGCCGGACCCGAACAGCATGCCCAGGATCAGAGGGTTCCCCGCCGGACCTCAACTGCAAGCGCTAGATCGCAGTGTTCCCCGCCGGACCCGAATCAGATCCAGCGCTGGAATGCCAGAATAGATGTCAGATAGAGTGGCAGGTAGAATGCCAGAATAGATGCTGGATAGAATGCCACAATAGATGCCAGATAGAACGCCAGAAAGAATGGCAGATAGAATGTCAGAATAGACGTCAGATAGAATGCTAGGTAAAATGTCAGAACATATGTCAAAACATATATCAGAAATATATTATGCAATGAAATGCCAAGGTGGGGACCACTCGAAGTAAAGTATTAAATGGTGCTATGATTTTAAGACCGAACCATTTAAAAGGAACAACAGCCAACCCATAGACCGGCCTCTTCTTTGAGAATATCCACTGGTACTGTCTTGGGTGTTTCTTGGTGCTTGGCCCACCAATCACAAGCTAGAGTCAAAAGCCGCAAGTTGCAACCAATGGCGCGGCATGAGGGTATGCCAATGGTTTCCCGTGTAGGCCACTCAGTCAACTGCTTGTTCTGGCGAGCATTTTGCCTAATGTCCGGGTCCATCTCCAGAAGCCCCCCAAGGCTCCCCACAACGCCCATTTCAGCCATCGGTCGGCCAAAGGTCTTGCTGATGGGGCAAGCAGACAATCTGCACTGGAAAAAGGGCTGGCGGATGCAGGGTTTGTGCGCTGGAATGAGGTGAGGTGAGCTGCCGTAAGCAACAAAATTGAAACATACTGAAACGTAACCAAAGTTCTGAAGAACTCAAGATCAATGGCCCCAGCCTTGCTAGCCTGGAGGATTACGGAGGGCGAACCATGAAGTACCTTTGCGATGGTGATGCATAATAGTAAGGAATCAGCTGGGACTTCCTTTGGATCTCTTGAGTGGCGCACTGGGACAGCTTCTGGAGCAAAGGGATGATAGGCACATCAGCCAGGTGAGCCAGGAAGCTACATCCCCAGCTCCACTCTCCCAAACCATCAGAAAGTCACAAAACTGAAATTACGCCTTCTCACTGAAATTACGCCTTTTCAGGCTGGACCCCATGAAAAGCAAGAAATTGAGGAAACATAAAAAATTTGTTCCCTCTCGGTTGTCATAGGTATTTCAACATAGAAAATTAAACAAAGAACATACTAATAATCAAAAGAACTATGTCCGAAAGCAAGTTCACCTAAAAGAAATGTCTGATATATGTATTGATATGTCTGCTGCAAACACAAATTCAATCGAATAATATCGAAAATCGGCTTTATATTGATTTATGCCTTTCTTGATTGCCAATCCTCCAAGGGGCCCTTGTTCACACAATAGGCAGCTGTAGCTGGAGAACTACAAAGAACACATTTGAAGATCTCCTTAGATCGCTAAGATCTCCTAAGATCTTATAAGATCTTCTATCATATCCTAAGATCTTCAATCGTCTCCTAAGATCTCCTAAATTTGGTTTGAAATTATGTTTGATCCAGGTCTCGGTGATTGAGCTGCATCAGAGTCGAGCTCTCCTCCTGACAAGTCTCCTCTTGACAGGCCTGATCCGCAAGCGCCTGCATCATAAGAACCGCGAGAACCGCAACCCTCGCCATGACTTGATGCCGAGTCTCCCAGAATACTCCGAGAATCTGACAATCCGAAAGGATCCGAAAGGGCCTACCTGTTGAGCCGGGCACTGCAGTCTCAACGTCCTCAGCTTTCGACTGGGCTACACTGCTACACTGCAACTGACTCTCGGAAGCCGATGCTTCTCCAAAGCTGACAGCGTATCTAAATTGCCACTTGCGAAGTGCTACGCAACACAATCCCACTAAATGAAAACCTTCTGCATTGGTAGACGAATCCTGCATTCAGAGAATAATCATCTACCTCGGACTGCGTTCACTGTCTTGCATCTTTTTTGCCTGCAACATCCAGCCACGATGCCCATCCAGTGTCGAAAGCAACTCAAAGAGTTTTCCCCTGCTATGGAGCTGTTCCAATAGCAGTGGGAAATCAGTGCCTTCCGCTAAGGTGCAACAGCCGGCCACCGAAGCGTCCCTTATATCGAACATGACTCCCTTGTGAATGGAACCTGAAATATCAATGGACTTCTTTTGCGGAAAAAAGTCAGATTGCCTCACGGCTAAAAGAATAGGAAATGGTTTAGGAAGACGCTACACAGGAATAGGAAATGGTTTGTAAAAAGGCGCTACATTATGCTAAATTTTGCTGCTAAATGCTAAATTGGTCTTTTCTTTCATATACTTTGATCCGTGTTTAGTAACCTTTGAGAGCAATGTGCCTTTCTACTCCTTTGTGCACTCAACATGCTACAACGCATGTCTTCAACATGCCTTGCACATCTTCATTACTGGTTGATCACATGTTGGGCTTGACTCTATCATCAAACAGGCAGCATCCTCAACAGAAGCAGCTCCAAAAAATGCTCAACAGGAACCAAAGGACGCCTCGGCGGTTCTGCTGCTGCTTTTGAGGTATACTCCGAGCCCTCATGAGCTACACTATGAGCCACAAGCAGACGACTCAACTGGGCCTGCCGTGCAGCCATCTGAATTGAGAACGAGCCAAGTAGCTGAGCCTTCAAACAATCTGCAGACCTCGTCTCTTGCGACAAGGACCGCCCAAAGCCTGGAGCAACCTGGTTTTTACTCTAATTGTAGTCCTTCTCTGTGTGGGCGTCTTTGGAAACTTCGCCCAAAAAGCCCACCAGACCAACCACTGACATCAAGGGGAAGAATCAAGAACCCAAAATAAGCCAATTACACATTACAGGCTGAACATGTCATATATGTCATGTCTTTCTTGACCAAGGTCTACTCAAAAGGCCCCCCACAGACTTTGGATAGAGCCACCCCACTGGCTGACAATGCTAAAGGACAACAAAACTGATCCTTCATGTTCATTCATTTTCAACCGTCAATCGGATTGGTGGTTCCAGCCAGCTGAAGGCACAAGACTCAATTAAGCAGTTCATACTTCGATCAAAAATTGTCTCCCAACTCACGTGGAGGAGTAGTTGGCAATGAACGAGGCGTTGGTGTCTGAGATGAAGGGTGCAACAAGAAGACGAGATGGTGCCGGTTGCACATCACCTTCCATGTTTCGGCCATACTCCAACAAGTCTGCGCACATACGGTCCATGTTCTGTGCCGACAGAATGCAGCACTCTCGATCCACGTGCCATGACACTTCGGCTGGAGAACATTTGTAATTGTCGTAGGACGTACCGGTGGTGGAGCCAATGTACACAATTGAGTCTCTGACTGGTTCGCGCCAGGTCTCGTTGAACATTTTGTATTCTTGTTCTGGCCAGTTCACGATGCGACAGATCTGTCCTCGCACAAAGGCCGTTGGATTTATGGATCGATTGAAGACACCACCCAAGCCGCCCGACAAAACCCCATCAATGGGCCCGGCCGTGGAATGGACCCAGTGAAACTCATAGGTGTAGCCCATCTTCACATTTTTGCAAGATGTCCAGTTGTAATCAGCCAAGGTCCAGTTGTCACCCATTTCTGGTTCCTGGCTCACTGGAGCGCAAAAATATCCTGGGCGGATGTCATTCGGAACGATATTCCCTGCAAGCCCGGCATCGGTATAGTAGCCCCCCTCATCCACGTTTTGGTGTTCACCACCCAAGTGAAAGTGCGTGTTCACGTGGATCAGATTGGGGAACTCATCGAACAAACCTCGGAAATGATTCCAAACTCTTCCAACACATTGAATGGATTTCAACTCACAACAGCGTTGAACAACAGTTGAACTGAAATCTATAGGTACTGGGTGTTCTTTCCAATTCTAGCTTTACGATGTTTTACGGCATTAATTACATGCTCTTCACGGAACAAACTTTGTAACCCCCTGTCAATTAAGGGGTGGGGCTGTGCAACCATTTTGTAGTGAAGAAACGGCTTGCATAGCCTCAAGCTCTACTAAATGGATGCGCATGCATGATCGAATTTCACTACTAAATGTGGGTCCCTGGTTCAGCTGAAGCGCAAAATTTGGATATATTTTCAGAGTGTCTTAAGACACCAACATGACTCGACCAAACACCCTGTTCCATTTAGTAGAGGCACTCATTTGAGCACAAGTTGCGGGACCAACATCACTCGACCAAAACCCCAAAGCCATTTAGTAGAGAAATACACGGGGTCCATTTAGTAGAGAAAACAACATGAAACACATATGACTGATCCCATGACCATCCATTTAGTAGAGGCAGCACTTGGCTAGACTGGAGGCGGCATGGCAGGATACCGCAAGGATGCTATCTTTGTCCAACTTCTGTTGTTTGATATCGCGGTATACCCGATCATGTTGAACCCAAACACGAAAGGCAGCACCCGACGAGCAAGAAACACCCAAGCGAGGGATTTGGCATCGCCCCCAAAAAAGGCAACAAAAGAACCCCAACACGAAAGGCAGCACCCGACGAGCAAGAAACACCCAAGCGAGGGATTTGGCATCGCCCGCAAAAAAGGCAAAAAAAAAACAAACACGAAAGGGCAGCACCCGATGAGCAAGAAACACCCAAGCGAGGGATTTGGCATCGCCCCCAAAAAAGGCAAGGCAGCACTTGGCTAGACAGGGGAAAAAAATCTTGACAGATTTTGGACATTTTGGGACTACAAAATGGTGTTCCATAGCACGTAAGGGATAATAGGGCACACAATATGCAACAGGGCTTTGTTTCAAACAGTTCTAGATAGACTGATCCCATGACCATCCATTTAGTAAGCACCCGACGAGCAAGAAACACCCAAGCGAGGGATTTGGCATCGCCCCCAAAAAAGGCAACAAAAGAACCCAAACACGAAAGGCAGCACCCGACGTGCAAGAAACACCCAAGCGAGGGATTTGGCATCGCCCCCAAAAAGGCAACAAAAGAACCCAAGCACGAAAGGCAGCACCCGACGAGCAAGAAACACCCAAGCGAGGGATTTGGCCGCCCACAAAAAAGGCCAAAATAGAACCCAAACACGAAAGGCAGCACCCGACGAGCAAGAAACACCCAAGCGAGGGATTTGGCATCGCCCCCAAAAAAGGCAAGGCAGCACTTGGCTAGACAGGGGAAATCTTGATAGAATTTGGACATTTTGGGACTACAAAATGGTGTTCCATAGCACGTAAGGGATAATAAATAGGGCGCACAAGGATGCAACAGGGCTTTGTTTCAAACAGTTCTAGATAGACTGATCCCATGACCATCCATTTAGTAAGCACCCGACGAGCAAGAAACACCCAAGCGAGGGATTTGGCATCGCCCACAAAAAAGGCCAAAAAAGAACCCCAACACGAAAGGCAGCACCCGACGAGCAAGAAACACCCAAGCGAGGGATTTGGCATCGCCCCCAAAAAAGGCAACAAAAGAACCCAAGCACGAAAGGCAGCACCTGACGAGCAAGAAACACCCAAGCGAGGGATTTGGCATCGCCCCCAAAAAAGGCAACAAAAGAACCCAAGCACGAAAGGCAGCACCCGACGAGCAAGAAACACCCAAGCGAAGGATTTGGCATCGCCCCCAAAAAAAGCCAAGGCAGCACTAGCTAGACAGGGGAAATCTTGACAGATTTTGGACATTTTGGGACTACAAAATGGTGTTCCATAGCACGTAAGGGATAATAGGGCACACAAGGATGCAACAGGGCTTTGTGTGAAACAGTTCTAGATAGACTGATCCCATGACCATCCATTTAGTAGAGGCAGCACTTGGCTAGACTGGAGGCGGCATGGCAGGACACTGCAAGGATGCTATCTTTGTCCAACTTCTGTTGTTTCATATCGCGGTATACCCGATCATGTTGATTTACTTCAACCCAGGAATATCTTTGATAGTCATTGGCATTCTAGAATTTATATTTATTTTTCAAGTTTCTTATTTTTTTGAGCATCTATTATCATATACTATCTGGATTTACGTGATTCATCCTGATGGACATGGATTGGCCAAACGGCTATCGGGGGCAACGGAATGGGAATCTCTACTAAATGGTTTCTCAGTTTTGTCTCATTTCATTGTGACCGTTTTATGAACTCTACTCGCAACCTCTACAAAATGGTTCCTGTGATTTTGCAACATTTTTTTTGACATCTCTACTAAATGGTTTTACCCAAAAAACAACATTTGACATCATATGATTAACATATCATTTTTACCTCTCTACTAAATGTGGATCATGGGTCTAGAGATGTTTACTTGACTTTTTTTGAAAAATCATGATTCTCTACTAAATGGTTTCTAGAAATTTCACACTAAATTTTTGGTTCACTTTCCGGGACCTAGGTCATAGCATTTAGTAGTGGAAATTAGCAGGAGGATAACTTTGTGACTTTGTGTGATTCATCCAGGAACCGACGGGCTTCACTTTCGGAGGCAACAATCCCACGAAATCTTTACTCACGTTGCGTGGCGACTGCGGCTCTGCGATGGAGCAAGGATAGCGTGGAGGTGCCGGGGGGGGGAGGAGGAGCTGGGTGACTCTCTCGACGTGAGTCAATGATCTTCTTCTTGACCCACCATGGAAGACCCTCATTCAACTCATTGAGCTCATCACCCGTCATCTCTCCTTGGCTAAGAAGTTTCAAG